TAGATGCAACACGAACTCATGGTTACCTGCTGAAGAAAAATATATTCTTGAAAGGGTATAAAACAATCAGACATCAAATGCTTTTTTACCATTGCGTAAATATTTCATATTCTGATATACTATAAATGAGCTCTTTCTAGAAGGTCTTTTAAAAACTTGTTAAGTCATATCTAGAGTTAAATTGTAGCTCTAAATATGCTAAAAAGGAGTCGTATTATTTCTGTTCATTTCATATTGCGCAAACCTTTGATATTGTAGACGACTGTTGATAGCTATTTTCTGAGACATGTAGACGACTGTTGATATTGTGTTCCAGGCATGGCAACTTCATGAAAGACGGGAGCTTGTATCACTAGTAGACACAGCACTTAATGGAGATTTCGACCCTGAACAGGCTTGCAGATTCTTAAAGATCGGTCTTCTCTGCACTCAAGATTTTCCTAAACTTCGACCCTCTATGTCTACTGTTGTCAAAATGCTAACCGGGGAGAAGGATTTTGATGAAAATAAGATAACGAAGCCGGGATTAATCACTGATTTCATGGACCTAAATATTAAAAGTGCCCCTAAAACCAAGGCTCAAATCAATCGCCCCTCTCCCAATTTCTTATCCTCTGGCTCTGATAATTTGGACTCTTCAACTTTGTCCCCAGGACCTTCTTCTCAGGCAACCTTCACATTTACAGAAGTATATGATAGGAGCGTTTGAATTTAAAATTTTCTGCTTGGTCTTGTGTTTTTGTAAGAATTGGTTAGATTGTGTAAAAATTGTTGTATTCCATTTTTTTTCTCGATATTTTGTGAACTTTTCGGGATATACATTAGTGTCATGTGAATTCATTGGTAGATAAAAAAATTGATTCAAATCTTAATATTTGCAATCAATTTATTTACCAATGAATTGATATGTCATGTCACCTATATTTAGCATAAGATAAGCACATATCGTTTCTCTACATGTAAATTCATATACGTTGTTATACGAGAAATCCTCCTTTGTTTCTCTATTTTTGAGTGTGTGTGTGTTTTGGTTATTACTGTTTTAAAAATTAAAAAGCAACCCACACGAACCACATGTTGTCTCTGATACCACTTGACACGGATCATTCTACTTGTAATACAAGCACACACATTAATTGCTTAGTTGAAAAAAAAAAATAATTTTTTTATAAAATATCTCCTGTACTTGAGCGTTTACTTTGTATAAATTTTTTAAATATATGATTGTTAAATATTAAAATTGAAACGTTTAAGTTACATTTTGATTCAAAGTCCAAGGGGCCATCTTCTTCAATGTCTCTTGATAAATTTACCTAATTTAATCAAGAAATGTTCTTGTAGAATTTATTTCTAGAATAATGATATATGCTAATTAATTACTAAATTTCCAATTTTTATATTACTTTTTATTAGTTAATTTGGATCGTAAATGGGTCAAATCTGAGTATAGAATGTAAATTCCAAGTTTACTTATTCTTATTAAATTAAATTAAAATTAATTATATCATTAATATATTGTATATTGAAATTAGCGAGAAAATTGTTACCACGTAATATTTAGCTCATTATCATCTTTTCAGACGAAATAATTTATTCGATTTCTGCATATATCGTTAACAATAGTATTTTATGATATCTGCGCATTAATTTTTTTTTTTTTATTTTAAATTCTTGTAGAGCGTTTGAATATAACTATTATGTTGTGTTTGCTGTTAATGATACAACTTGATGCTCATATATCGGAAAGCCCATGGGTAAATTAGGGGGTGCAAAATTGGAATATGAAGGGGTAAACACTGCTTTCAATGTAACTTTCCTCGTATTTCCCAAAACCGTAGTTATTAAAATCGGGTTCCCGATAGTGATCCGATCCGAGTGCATTAATTCTAAATTGATTAACATTCACGTTAATTCACGTATCGTATTTGTTATTCATATTTAATTATACATTTAGTTGTAATTCTAATATTCACATTCAAGTATGCATTTTACTATTTATATGCGTGTATAATAATTAACATTTATTTTCAAGAGTTTGCATTTCTCTTATATTTAGATTAAAATGGTAAATGAAGAGTCAAATATTACTTTCACGACACTTAAAAAACATTTCAGAATAACGTCTAACGCACATTCACTTTGACTAGTATCATGAAAAGTGCAATACTTGATTACGGTGACAAGAGCTTGGAATAAAACTATGGTAAACTGTCTCTTTGTGCCATGGACTGTGTCAAATTATATATATCCCATTGGGTCGAAGACACCAATGGGACAAGTTGATTAGGCATTACGAATCTAATGGAGTCTATTAAGTTAAAAGAGTTCATAGATTTTTGTTGGATGAGTGATTAATGAGGAAGGTAATAGTGCAAAATAAGGTGGCTTTGTGGTGGAGAGCAATATGGAAAGTAAAGGTTCCGTCAAAGATACTGGTGTTCCTATGGAGGGTGTATCATGAAGCAAAATCTTGACAACCGAGGTGCTCCCTGCTGGACTTTTACAAAGGTGGGGCTTGGTAGAGACCTTCATTCATGCTCTATTTTTCTCTCGGGTGGCAAAAGCTAGCTATATGGAAAGCACTCTGATGGTGGGAGCTCATCGAAAGGCGTTGCTGGGTTGGTGAGAATATAAGGTTGTCTTACATGGCATTCAAAACTGCTGTAATGGATTTGAGTAACCCTAGTTCTTTACCACCAAGAGCAATGAAATTGTAAAAAGAAAATAGACACACAGGAACATTCAAGATTTATAGATATTCTTCTTAATATGAGATTTAGTGTCGTATTAATTCACTATGATAAAAAGAAGTTAACTAAAGAAAATCGTACATCATATTTTCTCTAACCTCTCTCCCCTTTTGATAATAATACAAAATTCTAATGACGACTTTTATGCAAACAAAGGTGTGCGCAAGGAAGAAACTAAAGCAAGAACCAGACCGATCCACGACTCCCTGTTCATAAGATAAAACGGTATAGAATATAAATTATAAGTGTGAAATTCCTAAACTTCAAGTCCCCTCGTGATCTTACAGCAAAGGTCAATCCGCGTATGGACTCCATACAACGACAATAATTAAGACTCAACAACTTAACAAATCTCATATGGGTGCTATGGGGTGAAAGGAATAGATGGGTGCACGAGTTGGGAACTATAGATGTTGCAGCCATTGTTGAAGTAAAGGGATTGGAGGTCCGTTGTGTGGTATCACATACCTTCGGGCAAATTGGAAATGAACATAGATGTTCCTAATTCCTATTAGGGGAGAGGATGGATTCATTAATTATAGGGTAGTGATTTGGGATGAAATATGAGCTTGGCTTCCATTTTAATTAGATTTTGAAAAAAAAAAAAATGTATTTTAGAATAATAATTTTTTTGGAGAATGTGTAATTAAAAAAGAAGGAAAAGTTTTGAATTTTCGTGTAATATTATTTTATTGCAGAATGTGTAGTTGACAAAAAGATAGTAAAAAATGAATTATAATTTTAATGGAGCCCAAACAAGATCTTAGAGATGCAATCTAAGAGGACTCTTGGCTCCTTCTCGGTGGAAACTGTTGAGATGGGTCGGTTTTCACCAAAGATAGGTTTCTAGGTTGACATGGTAAATATGGACTCCCCAACGCTGGTGTGAAGCCTAGGAATAGACTTTTAGTTTGCTCCAAATGCCGCAATTCTATTTGATATGATTTTGTCGTTACTAGATGTTAGTTGTGGTCCGAGTCGTTTTTCTTACTAGAGAGATAAAGTAGCACATGACACAACAATTATTATTTTTTTTGATAGTCCGACTAAACGATGGACAAATTGTATTCCTCAAAATTTCTTACCTAGAATACTTGACGATATTACTTTATGAAATGCTTTTGACTCAAAAAAATTATGTCATACAAATTGAAGGAGATGGTGAAAAAAAAAAGGAAAAATGTGAGGAGAACTGCAGCAAAGGTAACTGGAGAGAATTAATACACCTACCTAAGCCGGTACTGCACTAAGATACAACCTGTATTTCATAATCAAGAGAAAGATAAGCAGAGTGGGTCCCATTTATCATTATATCCTAATTCATAATTATAACAGTAATGCTATGTGTCACGATGCTAAAACAATGGCGCCCTGCTTATCATTATTCTTATTCTTTTTGTAGACCAAAACTATGGAGAAATTCTCATTCTTTCTCTGTAAAATGTTACATTCTCTGTCATCATCATTGGTTGTCTCACTCGCGACCATTTTTGAAACTTTTTAACCTCATGCTACTGCTTTCTCTTTCACAAGCATTCCCTCAAAACGCAAGGTGTCCACTTTTCTTCCCCTGTTTTATCAAAGATTAAGCACAGAATACCATCATTTTTCCTCACCAATTACGGCCTATTTTGTTTTTTCTGTATACAATTTTCTATGTATTATCATGGTTCTTTCTCGTGTGCATATAGTTGGGGTTTTGAAAGAGGTTTCTTTATTTAGTTGTGGATTTCTTTTTGCGGTGTAGTGGGGGGATTGTTCAGGTCAAAAAAGTGGGAAATGCTGTGAGTTCATTTATGGGTTTGCTTTATATGAAACGTATGTGGGAAGCAATTTAGTTGTGTATTTTCCTGCAATTTACCGACTTCCCAACTGTGGAGTTCAGGAATTCCTGGCCTTAACTGCTTGAGGCTTCTGGATCTTTTTGCTCTTCTTTTTATGCTACTAATTTCTGAGAATCTTTGAATTCATCGTTTGGGATTGTCATGACTCGTGTAGCCGCAACTGTGGAAATTTCGTTGGATCAAAGACTCGTTACATATCATGGGTTGCTTTATAGTTTGATGCCATAGCATTAGTGTTAGAGATCATAAATTTATTCCTGCTCAAATTGAAGGCTACCACCCACAGCCTACGGGTATCACAATTTTAGTAATATTGACGAAAAATTGGTGCTTTGCTGTATGGGTTTTTGTCTGTATAGGTTTATTTAGTTGTTTCATATTAGATTATTTAAGGGTTGTTTAAACAATGGAGGATATTGGATTGTTCAATCAAGCATGGAAATGGTTGCAATCAAAAGACTGTTACTCTGTAGCAAGAACAACGGTGAGCATTTTCAGGGACAAAATGGGTATATTTATGGAGCGGCATTGGCCGATGGTTTGTTTTGGGTTTGCAAGGTGTGGGAGAGGTCTACTATTCTTATTGGCGCATTGGAAAACTTGTTTAGTTACTGGCTTCTGGTCATTTTCTGAGCTGAGATCAACAGCTCTTCTCGTTATTATGTGGAGCAGCTTTCTGAGTTTGACATCGATGTCATGTCTTCTTTACGCGCTTATTAGTATGGTATGACTTGTATCCTATGGATTCATGTCTTAGGTGCTTTCATTTCTCGTTTTGTAGCTTATTTCCTTATTCTGCTATTTTGAGTTGCCAGGATTTGCTTTCATAATGTCTTTTGTTGTATGGAAATGGTTAAACTTGAATTTATGCTCCAGTATGTCATTCGTGTAATAATATCCAGTATTTTGCAAGTTCCAACAGTGAACACTTTATTATGTGATAGAAAGTTTAAAGAATTATCTAGAGTTAATTGATGCAATATAAAATTATAGACTTGATGAACAGTTTCATTTAATCTCTGATTGCAAATAAATCTGGAGGATATAATGAAGATAGAGGATCAATATAAGATCTGATTTAAGCTACGATAAGAAGGCTCATACTAACGGTTCCCTGTATTATGAACTGTTGCTTGTGCAATCATATATGTTTTGGATTCAATTGAGCATCAGACAAGGAACCGCTTTGTGATTTTCATTAAATAAATTATTATTTATCCATTTCAAAACAGAATTCTATTCAAGTCACATGATATCTCTTCTATTGGGAAGGGATCGTTACTGCATCACAAAGTCTAGACAGTGTCATGCTTTCTTGTTTCATGTGTTTGCGTGGCTTCTTGTAGTTAGATGTGTAATTGCATTATCAGATGTTTATTTTCATTCACTCCTCTATTGTACAGCTGACATAAGGATTCAATGGATTCTCATGAAGAGGCTTATGATCCAGTTATGATAGCATCACTTGATTTGTGTTATATTATGATGTGATTCTCTCTTTTAGATGTTGGTTGCTTTTAACCATTCTTTAGCTCACTTGCTCTTAGTAGTCTTTCATGTTACAAGGCGTTATCTATTGTGCTGGGGAATTTTGCACTATTGTTCCTCATCTTTAATCGAAAGGCTTCCACTGCAGAAGTTCATAGACATTTACCAAAATCATTACCAATAGTTGCATGTTTCTTTCCAGGTCGCTGCTGTAATTTCTGTTCGGTACTTAGGCTACGCTCCTGGACTTTTTATTGTGGGACTGTTTGCCATTCTAAATTTATGGATGTATGCTAACTTTTGGATAACGGGTACATTGTTCATAGTGGGAGGTATGTTGTGGTTCTCTTCTTCTCTTACCTCGAACTCAGCTAATGCCTAATATATTTTATGTGCTTATACTCAATTTTTGATTTTGCCACTCATGGAGAAAATTTTATCTGTTCTGATAAAGAGAAGGACGAGTTTATTATTGCTTGACAGATGGTGCTGGGATAAAATTTGTAGTTCTGGCAATAAATTATGTATTTTTCACTTCTTCAATCTCAAATTCTTACTTTAGTTCTTTTTAATTTTTACAGTTCTGTTATTTTCTTCTGATTTGATTTGCCTCCTAATAAGCCATTCACTTTGAATAACTGCACTTTGGGAATAATCTTTTAAAATATCCCTGAGACATCAAGTGTTTCACAAACTGCTGAGTTCTCTATTAAGTTCTGGTTTACTTTCTAACAGTATGCTTTTGACGCTTTTGGAAAACGTTTTTCTCCTGCTCCTTTTTTCTTCCACCTGGAAAAGTAATTAATTTGTAAGTCTAGCAGAACAGTTCTCAGTGATGGACTTAATGTGATTCTGTAAATGGTAGAGAAAGCATGTGCATGTTATTCTCTGAACATTTTTATTCCTGACCCTCTTGACACCATCTTTTTGGAAATGCAGGTTATCTATTTTCCTTAAATCATGCTCGGCTGGTGGTATTCATGGCAACTATATACGCTATGTATTGTGTCAAAGTTCGAGTAGGATGGCTTGGGATTTTTCTTTCATTTAACCTTTCATTCCTATCAAATGATGTCTCGAACTACGTGCTCCAGTGGTGTGATAATTTGAGTGAAAGCACCCATTTTGAGGAGCATAAAGCATCCGAGTCATTCCCAGAAGATAGTTTCCCCACGGAATGTGAATTTTCTGGTCCTATCGAAGAAGAAGAGAAATTGCACTCATGTAAATCATCCGACAAACCTGAAAGTATTTCATTTGTTGAAAAAACAAAGGAATGTGCTTATAAGCAGGTGGTCAGAGAAGATGCAAGTTCAAGAATTGAAATGGAGCGAATTTTAAGCAGTTCCGATCATTACGAAGCACTGGGATTTCCCCGTTACAGGAAAATTAATGTTTTATCATTGAAGAAGGAGTACCGGAAAAGGGTAGGCTATTTTGACCCCCATGCATTAATCTTGTTTTTGTTTATTTTTAATGCATGTATGCCAGAAATAATATCTAGTTACACGAAAGTTGGCGTACCTACATTTTACCTCAGGTCTGTCAAATATTTAATTTTATTTGTTTGCATTCTTGGTGAAGAAAGACAATTGTCGACGGGATATTTGAAAATGTTCTTTGACAATATATGATGTCCTAGTTCCATTGGCATAAATTTCTGTCAAAGAGTGGGAAACACGAGATTTTTTGTCCATTTTCTTTTCTTGCCCTATCCCTGAATCGTCATATCAAATGTGGCTTAATACTTTATATATTAAAAAAAAATATAGAATAGGTCCATCATTTCCTACTCATAATTGATTTTCTCAGGTTAGAATAAAAGAAAAATATAAAAGACTTTAGTTACGTAATCATTACTTCTGGATGTCTTAGAATTAAAGCATAAAACATTCAATTTTGCATGAGAAATATGAAAAAAGGGACAGGACAAGGGAGGGGATTTTCAAGGATTTGATAACCATGAGGAACCAGTTTGGATATTAATCCAATGTTTAGTTTTGCTAAAAATCAGATTTTTCGTAGATTTTGATAAAAGTTGATGAATCTTAATAGATCTATTGGACGTTTGAAGTTTGCTGCTCTGATTACATTTAGTAAAGCTACCTTTCCTAGAAAAGAATTGAAATGCTTAAATGACGCACTAATAAGAAGAAGAACTACTTATCTCTATTAAATCTTACCACATCCAAGAATATTATTTGGTTAATGACCTTGCCTCCATAAGATTCTACGGAGGACCAAATGACAGTGCCTGGGGGCTGGGAGTAATTTAATTTCAGGTATTGTGGCTTTGAGTGGTGACTGACATTGCAAAGGTCACTTCTTTTGTTATTTTACAGGACGAAATATACTTTTTCTTAGACGGATTACATAACATAGTAAGTAGCATGCTTTGTGCATTAGGCAAAATGGAAATGGCATCTCATTCTCTTGGAGGAATGTGAAGTTCGAAGTCTTGCGTTGAAGTTGTTCTTTATGACTGTAGCTGGCTTTCTTTGTGTCTTGACATATGTATTTGTGTCTTAATGACAGAATATTTTACATATTTTGTTCAGGCCATGCTTGTGCACCCGGACAAAAATATGGGAAGTCCTCTGGCAAGTGAATCATTTAAGAAACTTCTATGTGCATACGAAGTAAGAGTCTTTCAAGTTTTCTTAGATTTTGTTGCTATTTCCAAAATGTCTGAGATGGAAGTGGTGGTGCGGTGTTGCTTACAATGGCATTCATATTCAGATTCTTTCCGATGTTGGGAAGAAGAAGGAGTACGACGAGCAACTCAGAAAGGAAGAATCTAATGCTGGCACTTCTCGTCAGGTACAGATATGATGTTTCTGTGTGCTTATTTATGCGACCATAGTTCTATTTTACAATAGATCTTAGGAAAAACTGCAGCATTATTATTATCTTAAAATGTAAATGTGAAGAAAAGATATGCACTTCTGTAAAATTAAAAAATATTGTTTAGTCCAGACCCAGGATTGTGAACCTATAAATCTCATTGTCATTTTCTTTACCTTCCTTCATGAATTATGTTTCCAGTAAGTGTGAGAAGTGTGAATTTGATGGAAAAGATAGGCATTCAGTTAACGTAGTTTAAAATACATGGGTGGTTCTCTTTTTATGATAATCCATATTTCGTGTATGTGGCTTTATTATCCGTTCATTAGCTGGATGTTCATTTATCAAAATACTTCAACTTTGCATTATTGTGTGCCCGAAAACAAATCAGTTCGAATTTTTTTCATTTCTAACTCCATATTGAGCAGGATACTGCTGGTTTTGTTTCTGAGGAGTCAAGGTGTATACAGTGCACAAAGTGCGGCAATTCACACATTTGGGTTTGCACCAATAGGATGAAGGCCAAGGCAAGATGGTGTCAGGTTAGGCTCCTCTTTAAATTGAAACTTTCTTTAGTTTATGCACAATTTGTGCATAAGTTAGTTGATGAGCATTTCTTGCCTACAGGATTGCTGTGAATATCATCAAGCAAAAGATGGTGATGGATGGGTAGAATACAAAGGGTCACTGATGTTTGATCGCCCTCAAAAGGTATGCTCCCCTTGATGAAGATTGGATATTTTCATTGCATATATACATTTGCAGTGTAGATAATCACCGTGAACTTCTAATGATTCCATTACTGGTATGTCAAATTTATGAATTATGAAATATGGATGTATAGCACATTGCATATTTATTCCAAAATCATTTTTTATCTGGTTCTTAAACCACTGCCAGATACACGAGGATTGTTTTTAGAAATATTATAGTACTGGTGAGAGCAATCAGGAAATTTGTTACTTTTGGATTTTGTGATTGTATGGAATCTTTTGAAAATGAGCAGTAGCACGGAAATCAGCATCTTAGTAGCCTACTTAACTTTGCCATACTTAAACAATTATGCTTTAAAGGTTTTAAGAAGTTTGCTTTGCCAACACTGTGTCTGCTTTTAGAGAATAAAAAAGAATACTCTGCATGTAGTGTGGACCTGCTGTTTTCCCCTATACATTCCATTTCCCTGAAGGAATATTGGTGCTCCTGTTGTTATACTTCACATGTCTAGTTTAATGATCATTATAGTTTTTGTCTTGAGTTTACTAGCATGACAAAGTGCTTGATTTTTATCTCCTGCCTGAGATGGTCAAAGTATCTTAGAGCTTAAGCAAGCAGAAGAACCAATGATTGGGTAAGAATTCTGTTTCCCAGAGGTTCAACCTTTGATCTTCATTTTTTTCTTTAGATCTTATTTGTGCTTTAGGCTTCAAAAAGCAGGAAGAATTATGATAGGGGTTTCCGTGCATTCTCACCATTATAGGAAGTTAACGTGCCTTTCCTTTTTTATGTAGTGTCTGGCAGAAAATATGTAACATTTATCACCAATACGTGAGTCTAACGTAATATGACCCAATTGATGTGGATAGAAATTTCCATGTAATTATCATCCATTTTCTCCCTCTCTTGGTTCAACTAAACATATATTATTCGCATTGCCATATAGGTGGAAATTCCGCGTGCTTTTGTTTGCGCAGAGAGCAAGATCTTTGATGTGTCAGAATGGGCTATATGTCAGGTCAGTGCAATTCTCATACGAGTATGCATGCCCTTGTTCTGAGTTGTATACATGTCCGAGAAAATGTCATCCATTCTGAAAGTGAACTGAACCAACTCTATTTTTTCTCCCTATGTTTTTCAGCATTTGTTATATTGCTAACATGGCAACATAAGTGTTAAAATCTTTTCACTAAAAAATCCTGAGGATAAAAGATCTAATGGACCGTATTCTTGGATGTGTGGAGCCTAAAATAGTGTACACTTTTCCCCTTAGCCGCGGTTCGAACTTATATTAGGGCGCCCTAATATTTTCCTCCTATATAAAGGGTATTAGAGCGAGTCTCCATTCTGTGTATCATAGTAGAGAGAAAACAGAGAGGCGTGAGTCTAAAACCCATTGTAATTCTTACGTTGAGGTGAAGCACATTATATCAAGTTATTTTTGCTTTCGTTTTTCCTATTTCGTGTTATTAATTGATCTTGATAATAATGATTATTTCGTTTAGCCCATAGCACGTCAAATTCCAAGAAAATATTAATGTAATGAGTTTTCAGCAGTCCAACTCTTAAGCCAGAAAATTGACGACCTAGATGATGCAAACTCCAACTATTTATTGGACCTCCAAATTTAGGAGTCCTCACGAAACGGAACCATCCCCTGATTTCTCGTGTAGCTGTTGCACTATTTATTTTTGTCATACATCCATTTCTACTGATAACTTTTAAATGTTGTTCCATCTCAATATAGGGAATGACTTGTAGGCCCAACACTCATCGACCCAGCTTCCATGTAAACATGGTGGGACTGGAGAAGTCAAGTCAGAGGTCTAATTCAGCTCGATATCCATGGGATTTAGATGCTGAAATGATGGATGAAGAAGAAGAATTCGAGCTGTGGCTCCAGCGAGCCCAAGCATCTGGAATTTTTTGTGAAACCCCCAGGCGCCGGAAAACCTGGAGTCCCTTCAAGTTGGCTCAGAAAAATGGTAAAAAACGTTGGCGAAGATCGTCTTAGACGATTTTGAAATATGGATTTATTATTTCTAACCTCCTGCAACATAACCTATTCCATGCACCCTAAGGGAACAGTGGGGAGAGAGAAGAAACCATAACTGGCAGGGATCTAATTGCTCTGGCAAGGGTACCCAAGAATATTGTCAATGGATATGAGAATGACGGATGGACAGCAGGACATATAAACAGCTTGTTTTACCTTGTTTTGTCTGTAAATAATGTTATATTGTTCTCGACAAATTTCCTTCCCCTCCCATGCAGATCAGTGTAATTGAAGAGCAAAACTGTTTATACATTAGTATTTTCAAACATTGTACGAGTCAAGTCTAAAATAAAAAATAAAAAATACATGAAGTTTTTGTCTAAGTCATTGCCTTTGTAGCTGTATTATCTTCTCTTCAGTGCACAGAAATACATTTAAGCTGATATCAGAAAATTGTGGAGGAATATGCTACTTTTATCAATAGTCATTGTCCCAAGCATATGTAGCCTGTGCATTTGTTTTTTTTTTTTTGGTAAAGTCCATTCTAGTTAAGGTGATGGTTACCTTAACAAGATAGGGGTTTGGCATTACCCCTACCCTAGTATATAGAATGGCAAAAATTGTACAAAAAGGACATGGTAAACCTTGCCTCAATCAATGATGAAATACATCAAAACTTAAAGAAAGTAGCCTACGGATATGTTCTAAAATGTACTCGTTCAAATCAATATGAATGAAGTAAAAAGAAACTGACATTTCACCTATATCCAATAAAAAAAATCCTTGGAAAATGATGCAAAGATTGGTTAGCCTCTAGCGAGCCTCCTTTAAATAAGAAATTATTAATTGCTACTTGAACATTTATAAATACTACTACAATTTGTATGGTAAAGCATAACACAAGGCACGAACTGACTCAATAACCCTGTCATTAAAACGTAATAAGCAGCAAAAAGAAGCTAAAACTTTATCAACTGTAATAATCAGATTTGTCCATATCAAACATGCAGCCATCGTGATGAAAACAAAAGGGCATTTGACTTCTCATTGAAACCAGATTCTGTAGATCATTTCTCGTCTTTTCTACCAAAGGCTGTGTCAATAACTGCTAACAAGAACACTTAACAGCTTATTTTGCTTTATATCCTGTGACAAATCTCTGCATGCCAGCAAAATCGGATATAATCTTCAAATTGTGGAAGCTCCTTCTTGTTTCAGTATCCATGTGATCGACAAAAAAATTGCTCTGTGTTTCACTATTTATCTGCAGCAAGAAGGTCAAGAATAAATATGAAAAGAAACTGCCTCCTTGAATGGACACATTTTTAACCACTCTTCACAAAATGCCCATTACCAGAACAAGTTGTTACAAATTTAAAAAACACATTGAAAGCTCGATACTTGGATATGATTCCATATCTCATTAAGTTAACTAGGAGACTCCACATCTCCTTATGAATACAAAAACTAGCACATACTCAACATAGAAGTCCATTTGGCGATGTCGTTAAATAGCTCATTTTTCCGAATCCTTAAGGTGTTAAGTAGTCTGCTACAGCGCTTTATTTGGTGGTGTTATGTCCATTTGGTAGTAACTGGGAGTTAGTAGCAGATTTTGACATCGAAGGGATTGAAAAACTGCTCTGAAACAAAAAGGGTCATGGTGATAACAGTCGCAATTAAGCAAGATAAATAATATTACCAATACTAAGGCAGAATTCACAGATGGAAACATCTGATTTTTTAGTCAGGATTCAAGTTCGTGGATAAACCATGATGAACATCCTTTAATAATTGAAAGTACAAAGTGCATACAAGTAGAATGTAGATCCTTAATATGCATGGTGTTCCCGGATAGATAAAAATTATCTATCTAGGCAAGCAAGTTGATCAAGACTTGGGGAGTGAGGTCGTGGGTTATGAAGTCAAAAGATAGAAAATAGAAATCTTTGAAAAAAAATCGGGAATCAATGAGGATGAAAAGAGTCTTCCAATCAGGGGCAGAGCCAGAAAATGATGTTAGGATGGTCTGAAACTTAAAAAAAGTTCTAATGAATTCACGCCACAAGAAATCGAGTTTCGGAGCTATTCTCGTTACATTCATGATAAAAAAAATATACGGAACTCAATGAAATAAAAAAAAAGTTTAGATGCCTCATATCAAAATATTCCACTAAATTTTTGTATTTTTTTTTCACCAAATAGAAAATCGATACTTGCCTTAAAAAATATAAATTGACCGAATCATAATAGAAATAAGCAAAAATACATATCCACCAATGAAAATTTTAAAAATTACTTCACGAATACTCTTCTAGTAAATTTGACGACTAATCTTTCTAAATAACTGAAAACTTGATCGAAACATGCATTCGATAATATATCACTATTCCATATGTTATTGTTTCGAAATATTATTTGGCGTGTTTATCGATTTTTTATATCACCACATTTTAATGTGAGTGAAGAATCTCAACCAAAGTGAGAAAAACCAACTAAGGATTTCGAGGGTCAAAGAAATTAAATTAAATTTAAGCCCATTTTTGGCTCGATTTCAAGGATATACTTATATATAGATTACTTTATCAGTAAATAATTTTTAACAAATATTCTTTTTATTGTCAATATCGAATCTAGAGTAAATTATTTATTTTGGTCATAATATCATAATTTGACAATAAAATATTCATGTTTCATGAATGTCATGAAAAGAGTAATTAATAATCGTAGCATCTTTAATATAATTTGAATAATTGAGCATTGGACTTGGGTTGAGAATCAAACTAGAGCTGGGCTAATGCTAATATTTGAGCCAAAATTTACAAGGGAAGTATACATAAATCCTGCTTTTACTTATACATATTTCAAAATTAAGGTTTGATGTTTTAAATTTCAAAAATCAGGTTTTTATTTAAATTTATTTATGAATTACTTAATTAATTATATATTTTATTAATAAATATATAACGGTCACAGATCTATACAATTTGGTCACAATTCAAAAATTTTAAGGTCACAATTCAAAAATTTGATATGTCACAATTCATTCATCGGTCACAAATTAAAAATTTTAAAGTCACAATTGTTTTATCGGTCACAAATCATAAAATTTTTAAGTCACACATCTTATTTTATAGTCACAAACAACGAATTATAGGTCACAAATAACTTTTATTGATCACAAATTAATAAATTTGTGGG